GCAGCCTAGCTTTTTCCCAGCAGCTGCCGCTATTGACAGGATGCATCCGTGGATGAATGGCTCTTTGGTGGAACCCGGTCTTCGAAACCGGATAAGAATGTAGTTATGTATCTTGGAAGCTACAAACTGTATCAGATTGTTGCATCTCCAAGTAGTCATAACCTCCAGGTCTCTCGTCAGAGAGGAAGTCGCTGCAAGTCTTCTTTTCTCCAGCTCACCGGCAGAGATCGGTTTGTCACTCTGAATTCTAGCATGTAGAATGCTGTCACCAGCAAAGCTGTGGAGCGAATTGATCGTACAAGAAATGAGGTCGCTTTGTAAGAGGAACAATGTCGGAGCGAAGGCACATCCGCGTCACCGTTCTAGGATGAAGAGGAGAACCCCTCAATTACGACGAATATCTTGCGGCCAGAGAGGAAGCCAGCCACCCACCTGCAAGGCTCCTCTGGGAGGCCATAGGATGGAAGTTTGCATAGAAGGGCAGCATGCCACATCCGATCGGTCGCTTTTGTGATATCAATGGCAACGATGTGAGCCTCACCATGAGACTGGGTGAGTTCGCCCTTCAGTTGCGAGATGCAAGCTAAGACGCTCATAGTGGGGGGTTAATACCGAACAGGGGCCCGAGATTTCGGATAGTTTACCTCGCGATTGACTGAACTATCTCACCAGCAGTTATCGTATCGGCGAATTGGTCCGGCGGAGTAGGCGGAGTGGCCGGTAGCTGGGTTCGGTAGCAGTTGCCGGCCTGTTCGTCGGTCTGTGTGTGTGTATATGTCTGCTGCTGACGACGCTCACCGGACGCGCCCGGAATCTGAATTTCACGTCCACGTTGCTCGCCAGCTCTCAGGCGCACCACCGGAAGCCCTAATGGCCTACACGTGATCTGGAATCCGCCACTAATACGATGCTTCGAATACGATGACCCAGCCGCCGCTGAGTACCTTTATGAATTGTAAAGTATCGGTGGATCAATTTTGTCTCACGGTTGTAAGGTTGTAAAAATTTCTTCTTCGTACTTGGCGAATGTAATCCTTGAAATCACATTCCATCGCTACTAGTATTCTATAGTACAGTACTGCCATTTTAACTACGTGACACCAATATCTACAGTTTTTGGTGCGTATTGCTGTAGAGTATAATAATAATAATAATAATAATAATAATAATAATGTTTATTGTCACAAAATACAAGTAAATATCAAATATTGTGCACAATAAACATAAAGCACCCAAAAAAAGTTTGCACTTGTGTTTGGGTTTGTACAAAATAAAAACTAATAGTACAGTCAGTGTATGAAAAAAAAAAAAGAAAAAACCGGTTTATACTGTATAATTTGGTGAATTATTATGGTAATGTCAGGAAAAATATCCAGACAATTAGAACTGAAGTAAAAGTATGGATGTTAGTGTAAGTAAAATATTATTGATTTTGATAATGATTTTTCAGATCTACAATTTCGTGGATGGAGTACCTACCTTGGTTGTTGTAAAATCCATTTTTTTAGTTGTTTTTTAAATGATTTATTTGATTTAATTACTTTTAATGACTCTGGTATGAAGTTATAGAATTTTGGTCCCAAGAAAAACAGAGATCGTTGTGTAATGGTTTTTGATGTCTGTGGAATACACATTGAATTTTGATTGAATCTTGTTGGGTAGTTATGAATGGTACGATTAAAGTATTTTGAATATTTGAAATAATGTATTAGACCACAATAAAAATAAATTTGTCTGCAATCTAATAGCTGAGCCTCCACATATAGAAAATCACTTGAATAAGTAATCTCCCTATGGAGGATCAATTTTAGAATTAATTTTTGGATGACCTCAACCTTTTTGTAATTATTCTTCATAACTCCCCCCCAAGCCAAAATTCCGTAAAGTAATAGAGGATAAACAAGAGCATAATATAGATTATATAGATATTTCTTATCTAGAATATCTCTGAAGTACCTGAATTTTGGAATAATACATCTCAGTCTCTTCACAAGGTACTCTGTATGGGTATCCCATTTTAAGTGTTTGTCCAAAATCACGCCTAAGTATTTTATTTTATCGGCTGACTGAATCTCTTTGAGACCACTGCTTGTATGAATTTCAAGTTTTTTAAATTGCGGTGAGAGCCTGTCGTTACAAGAAAATGCTATATAGTGTGTTTTGTTGTAATTAATTGTCAAAGTTCTTTCCGAAAAGAAATTTATAAATGTTTTGAAATCATGTTCGATTGTGGTTTTTAGTGTATGCCACTGGTTGCTTTCATAGAGAATAGCTGTATCATCCGCAAAACCGATAACTTTACCTGTACTATTTATTTTGAACAAATCGTTGATAAATAGATTAAATAAAATGGGTCCTAATACTGAGCCTAGAGGTACACCGTGTGATATAATATGGGGTTCACTGAATGTGTTATTAATTTTGACGCACTGTGTTCGATTTGACAAATAATTTTCTATAAGTTTGTATGTTATTCCCCGGAAACCTAAGTTTTCTAAAGTTTTTAAAAGCGATTCATGAATAATAGAGTCGAATGCCTTTGCCAAGTCAACAAAAACACAAGCAGTTGGTTTGCCAATATCGAGATTCGTGTATATTTTATTTGTTAATTTTACAATAGCATCTTGAGCAGATTTGCCTTCTTGAAAACCATATTGCTCTTCCGCTATTAAGTTATATTTTTTTGCAAATTCGGTGAATCGTTTTTTTAACACTTTTTCAAATATTTTAGAAAAATTTGTTGAGATGGAAATTGGTCGGTAGTTGATGGGTTTTTCTCTTTCTCCAGATATCCATGCTTGTCTTTTTATTTGTGTTCGTGGAATCTTTACTGTTTTGGTGCATTCAGCAATATGGCCTTCAATGCTAGATATAAAAAGGACAAATGCATTTTCAATATTAGGTTCGTTATATACTACAATCCAATTTTCATTGAGTAAGTTGTTATTTAGTTTTTCATAATCAATGTAAATTTTTGTATTATTCACTGTCTTTTCAATTTTGGTTGATGTACTTTCAAGATCGATTTTGAGCAAAGTAGGAAAATGATCAGAAATATTGTATTTTAGAATTGCTGAATATATTTTGTCAAGTTCTAAACGTGAATTTATAAACATATGATCTATACAACTCCCACTGTTTCCTTCTACTCTTGTCATTTCGTTAATGGCTGACAGGTAACCATGTTCAGCCATTATATTTAAATAATCTTGAATATTTTGATTGTTATGATCTAATATGTTAATGTTAAGGTCTCCAATGAATAAGTTGATATCAAATTTTCTACTGTTTTCTAGATAATATTGTAATTGACCGTTAAATGTTGTTACAGATATACAGGGTGATTTGTACACACCAATGATCTGTATCCATTTATTATTCTTTTGAAGAATAACTCGTAAAAGTTTTGTTTGAGTTATATTAATAATTTCATACCCACTGTTCAAATTTTGTTTTACATAAATCAGAACCCCGTCATTTTTATTAAAACTACCATCGTTATAATATAAATCATAATTGGGAATTTCAATCAAACTTGTATCATATACTTTAAATGTTTCAGTTAGCACTATAACATCAAATTTAAAATCTAGTATATCCAACAAGGCATGAAGTTCATTCATATTTCTATGAATGCTCCTTATGTTCGTGTGAAAGATGTTCAATCCTGAATCAATATTATTAGAAAAACGTAACTTTGTTGTAGGTAAATCGTCTAAAATATTTGTTTTAATTATTTCAGGTCCAAATTCTGTAATGTATCTACTCATAAATATTCTAAGTCCTTAGCAATTTAGAATAAAATTCTTGATATATGTCTTTGTTGGAAAAATTTAAATACAGCACAACATTTATCTGTAGGGGAGTGATGTGTATTATAGTTTTTATTATATTTTTTGTTTGAATATACACAGTTGCAACAAATGGGATTAGTAGATTTGTTGCATGAAGTATCATCATGTTCTTCTCCACATTTGAAGCATACTTTATGACTATTACATTTCTTACCAGAGTGATTAAACTTGAAGCAATTTGTACATTGAGTTACCTCATTATTAGGATAAACTGATAAATTTTGAAAACCAATTAAAATTTTCCCTCCATTATTATCAAATATTTGTCTGAATAGTTTACCTGACACCTCTGCGTAAACTATATTCATCTTTTTTTGAGGAAGGAATCTAACATAGGTGATTTTTAAATTTAATTTTGTTATAAAGTGGTTTTGTCGCATAATATCTTCTTCTATTTCACGTTCTTGAAGTTTTTCTTCAGAGTGGTAGCCAACAATCTTTATTTTAGGATTAAACATTTTCGGTTCGGATATTGTATATGTTGATGGCAGATTCTTCCCAATTTCTTCTTTTAGCTTCTTATGGTAGCGATCTTCTACATATAATTCAATACCACCATTTTTACAGTTCTTAACAGTTTCAATTTTGATGTTTATTTTTGATAAATTCAAATTTCTGCTCAGCTCGTTCTTAGTTCTGTAGTTAGACTGTTGTTGTTCAGGGGTAATGATAAGACTTTTAAGTGACCTTTCTTTACTCTTTGATGGTGAATTTATAACTGCTTGGGCATATGTGGAATTTTTTGTTGTTGTTTCCTCTAACTTCTCAATTCTCCTAAGGAGTGTCTCAAGTGGTGTTACTATACAGTCTCTATCGACTATGTTTGAAGAAATAAGATCATACTGTTCTTGAAATCTTCTGTTTTCGTTTGATAGGTGGTATATTAATTTTTCTTTTTCCAAAAGTAATGCTTGACAATTTTCTAAATCCTTCGTTTTTTCTAATAACTCCTGCTGTAATAATTTATTCTGTTTTTTCAAGTACTCACATGTTTCTTGCGTTGACATAATAGAATCACAGCTAATGTTTACAGTCTCATCTTCATCCTTTTTCTTTCTCCGAGTCATTGCACACTCAGTATTTAGAATTTTGTATCACTGATGTGGCTTGTCAAAATTGTGTCAAAGTTGTATATTAATACAAACGGCCGAAAGTGGTTTACCTCTTGAAAATTGTCTGATCCCCAATTGTGGATATCCAAATGTAGTCTAGGAACAAATTCAAGAGCAGCGACAAATTATTTGATTCGTAGTTTCGGCAATATGGTGATGGAACTGTGGAAAAGGTAGATAATAAGTGTATGTAGGTATCTATATAACACATACTTATCTCAAAATGGAAAAAATATGTTCATCCGCCATAACTGCATCAAACTGCTTGAAGCGGAAGTCCGGTATAAATGTCTGATCTCGTATTTCATAGAGTCAAACGGATTCAAAATTGGTTTCAGAGGCTTGAATACTTCTATACAGATTGATTTCTCTAGTATGTTCTAATTACGGAAAGGCTTCTGAGAATATTTCGGACAATCACTTCATTTTGAACGTAATACGAAAACATCTTTTAAGAGGGTCAATGCTGGCAGTTCTGGGCGTTAATGTACCAAGAGAAGAACGATAGTTTGATATCTATCTAAAATCATTAATTCTCTGGACATTATTCTTTATAATGCTACTTATATATACTTATATACTATGATGCAACAACTCAAAAGATACTTCTCTCGTACCGGTTAAATAAGCTTTGTAGATAGAACTTGTTCTCTGTGAGATACTTTATATTTGATGGGTCTGCATGTTGTCGGTATATGTCAATCGACAGATTGAGTTAAAGAATATGCACTGTATTTAATTCCAGCTCTGGCTGACTGGTGAGAGATTTATCAGTGACCACTATCAGTAATGCAATTCCAAATGGTGGATATACTTCTTTGAGAAATGTTTCTATAAATCTTCGCTGTGGAGACCTCCGTTTCACCACAAATCACCATCGCGGAATCAATTAAAGATATGGCGGCCGCAATGGGCGCAATGGCAATCTCCCTTGAGTGTGCGGCCACGCCGCACCGTGTAGCTCACATAGTCCAGGATCCCTTAAACATGGTTTTCTAATAGGGTGATAAAACAAAAGGCGTTTGAGGTATTAACGAACTTCTATCTCTTATTGAAATGCACATATATCGCTGTGAAATAGCCAGGGCATATGGCATTCTCGAGGCTACCAGCAACGGCGTGCTATACAAAATTGCATGAGTAGACACAGGATGTAGTGAACCTATTTGCTTCTTAACCATGACCATTTTTTTAATCTCAATATTGAAAAGATGAATTTTTTGTTACTACATTTGTTTGACAATTTTAATAAAATTTATTTACAGCTAGTACTTTGGTATAATGCCGATTGCACCAATTATGGTCTGACGCCATCACCTATGGACTTTTTGGGTTATTTCTGGTCGAATTTGGTCCCATTTCTTCATAAGAACATCTTGTAGCTGTGGTTTCGCAGGGCCTTGAGCTCCAGCAAGTACCGCAAATGTTCGACCGGATGCGGGGCTGTCGGTAGAGTTTTGAGTTGTGCAGGATGATTGTAAATTAACCATTTCTTTGTTTCAGTGGCGGTGTTCTTAGGATCGTTATCCTGATCTGACACATAAAATCATCTTTCCGTTATTGAGATTCAAGAAAAAAAATAGGGTGTCCCACTGTAGGTCTAGTCAGAGCCAGACTAACAAAAGCAAACATGGCAGTACGGTCTACTATGTTCTGCGCAAGGAGCTTAGGCCAAAGGCACAGGGGCCTCCAGCATTTTCCACGTATGGACTGAAAATATACCAAACTCTAGGTGGCAGGTCTGAGTGTTATCACCCTTTTACATACAATCTACTGAGTTTTTCAGTACACCATACCTACTTACTTGCTTTCCGTTTACTACTAAAAAGTATGAAGCAACTTGGCATGCGGTGGTTCAAAGTTACATAGATGGAAAGCAAATAGATTCAGTTCAGCCAGATCCAAGAGCTCCACAGCATAGGTCCATCCGAGCACACACTGTGGCATGGCTGATGTTAAGCTTTAAAGTATTGCTGGATTGCGGCTTGTTGAACCACAGCTTCAGATGGCAGTGCACCGACAAAGAATTGTTAATTTTTGGTTACTTTCAAAAGCCTTGGTGGTGAGGCCATCACCGTCAATACAAGTTGAACGACATGAGTATGGACGACATGTGGATCCAGCAAAATGCGTCTGTGTACCAAATTGCAAACGCCTTATTAGACATTATCTGTTGGGTGTTGGGATTAAATAAATGAATAAACAAATACACTAAAATAAGGGTTATCCCTCTCCGGACAAGGCGAGTTAACTCATTAAACTTTTTCCTGCGGGTTCTCTGAAGTCACGGGTTTTCTGCAACCAAAGAAGTATCAACCAATGCCATCAAGGTCAACATATAAATCACTTAAATTCGGCCGGATATATCTGACAAAAAATGACATCTTGTTCTCTAGCGGTGTCATATTCCATACGAAATGGCGTATACGGACCTTTCAGATGAAAATGAATCCCGTTAATACATCTACACGCTATACAACGAAATATCCACCAAGTTTTACTGGAATCAAATCTAACTAGCTATAAATCTAACTTTGGTCGTTTAAATAGGCTGAAAATGACTTTGTGCAAGCTTGTCCAAACCTTCATGGCAGATCTTCAACCATTAGGGTCACAAGTCTTGGAAGATGCCGTGAGTTAAGTCCATCTTACATACGAGTATTTGCAAATTTGTAATTGCGTGGTTTCGACTTCAATGATGAAGATTGTTGAATAATATTATTAACAAGAATGATATCACCGTATTTGAATGTCTTTAGTCAATTAATCGTCTTAGTAAGCAAAAATGTTGTAGATATTTTCCATCTTGGTTTCCCTATTTCTTCTGCTTTGACATTATTGAGTCTTGAGCATCCAGATGAGACAGCTGCGACTGACCCATAATCATTTAACGTATTTATATCCTCTCAACAAAAAGTCATACATACTGAACTTAAAGCCAAAAAAATCATATCTAACAGAAAATACTCAAATGGTGAAATCAACATTTACCGGGATATATGATGACATTATTCCATTCTATAAAAGCTACTCACAATTAAAAAGTACCTCTAGGCATTTTTAGATGGCTTTTGACGGGTGTCAAAGTTACAATTTATTATAGAAAGTTTTTCTAGTATGGGAAACAAGAATCCGTTATTTTTTATGGCCAAACTTCTAGAGGACGCTACTTACAGCACTATTTCGGTAAATAACTTATCATAACTTTTTTGTGCTACCTTGTAAACAACAACTGACCAAAAAATCTTATTTTTTCGTATTTCCGCAACAAAAAAGGCTTACTTGTTAGAAGTGTCTAAAGCAAATAGTTTTCGAGATATTTGTTTTTAAATGTCCCAATGCATTATTTGTACCTTGATGATAAAACATTTTTATAACGTAATAATCAAGTTGCTTTGGATAATATCTGAGTAGCGTTGCTATGGTTTCTAATATTTGTCATAATATTGCTTTAAACTTCATGAATAATTTTAAGTTGACAATAATATCATCAATAATATTTACCGAAATAGTGCTGTAAGTGGCGCCCTCTAGAAGTTTGGCCTTAAAAAAATAACGGATTCTTGTTTCTCCTACTAGAAAACCTGCCTATATCGAGAATTATGCCAAAATATGAAATATTTCTCAAGCAATAAGGAAAAATAGAAAATAAGATTGTAACTTTGACACCCGGTATCTCGCAAACTATCAACTTTTGGACTGAGGTATGTTTAGGTCAATTCACATATTTTGGTCTGCAGTATCTCCAGTTTCGAGATTATGCAACCTTTCGCAGACAGAAATCTTTACCAATCCTCGTATTAATTGAATGTATTTGGCCGTGTTTCGGGAATTTGTCTTCATTTCTAAGCATATATTTACAAGTTTCCAATATGTATAAACAATCAGGTGTTAGTATTTTGGATATCTTAAACAGATCTATACATGTTTTTCTACCACTAATACCTCCATGCATGTGATTATTCTTTTTTGTTCAATGAACACATTCTTTAGATTTATAGAAGTCACCCAAAATGATATGCTATACTTTGAGTAGAGTGCATGATACAATCTAATTTAAGTAAAAGTTACATGGATCACCCGGACGTACAATCTAAGAAGTTATGATGGATACTTTGTCCGAGATCCGGGACTATTGACTATGCCGCCTAACAGCTTCGTATGTACCGCGGAATATAATTTATAGGTACACTTGGCGGCAAACGAATAATGAATTCATGATAATCATCGCTGCTGTGCACATTGCGCCCGTGTGTCCGTCGCGTCTACTGCTCTTACGCACCCGAGTTTCTTTTTCTCTTCTCCGACTGCTTCTGCTTGCTCTTTTCTCCATTCATCCGATTGCTGCATCGACCCAGGACCGTATCCACCAATATTCCTCGAGCAGTCCTCTATTCCTGATGTTGTAAGTACTGCGAACACTGCATCGTCCAAGAGTAGTTGTCAATCTTTTTTTACACAAAAAGCTTTGGAGCAGTTTGGGTTGAGTTAAAGACACAGTTCTAATTTATCTTGCTACTCTTTCATTGAGTCATAGGAAGGGTCCTAATGGATAAGGCCAGTTAAGCGTATGCGGAGGATCGCGGCTAAAACCGTTTCAGTTAGAAAAAACAGTATTATAACGGTTTTTTTTTCGAGGTATAGAACTTTAAGTTGGCATTACTTTTAAAGATGGCGTCCGATTTGACAGCTGTCAAGTAATTTATTCTCAGTTTGGTTTGGCAGTTCATCATGAATAGACTCACGCCTGAACAACGCTTGCAAATTATGCAGTTTTATTTCGAAAATAATAGTTCTGTGCGGAATACGTATCGCGCACTACGTCCATTTTATCGTCGATAAAATCGTCCACCAAAGCAGTTAATTCGATTAACCATGGAACGTTTTCGCACCACGTTTACTCAAATTGATAACTCGCATCCCCAAAGACGCCGTACGGTGCGTACAGAAGAAGCTATTGCTAGTGTAGAGCGTCGCATTGTGGAAGACCCGAATGAGTCCATCCGCCACCGAGCACAGGAATTGGATCTGTGTCCATCCACTTTATGGAAGATTTTGCGGAAGGACCTTGTTTTGCGTGCTTACAAAATCCAACTCGTGCAAGAATTTAAGCCAAAACGAACATCAAGCAAGGCGTAGATTCGTTGAATGGGCCCAAAAACGAGATTGCCGTTGTTCCCGATTTTCATAAGCGAATTTTGTTTAGCGATGAAGCGCACTTCTGGTCGAATGGCTACGTCAACAAACAAAACTGCCGCATTTGAAGTGAAGCTAATCCTCAAGTCTATGTCGAAACACCGTTATATCCAGAAAAAACTGACTGTTTGGTGCGCTTTATAGGCTGGTGGAATCATTGGTCGGTACTTCTACAAAAACGATGATGGCCAGAACGTTACAGTCAATGGTGATCGGTATAGAGCCATGATTACTAACTTTTTCATTCCTGAATTGAACAATCATGAAGTCTAGGAGGTGTGGTTCCAACAAGACGGCGCAACATGTCACGCAGATCGTGCTACAATCGATTTATTGAAAGACACGTTTGGTGACCGCCTAATTTCACGTTTTGGACCCGTGAATTGGCCTCCAAGATGCGGATAAGCTACAAACGCTTAACCATTTGGAAGACATCATTCGCCATGTTATGGCCGATTTACGGCCACAAATGTTGGAAAAAGTCATCGAAAATTGGACGTCCAGATTGGACTACATCTGACCCAGCCATGGCAGTCATATGCCAAAAATCATATTTAAAATGTAATGCCACAAGATTATCTTTCGAATAAAAAAAATTCATGCCAATCGCATAATCCATCGTCAATCTGTAATGTGTTCATCACGTCTTGGAGACATAATTCTAATTTTTATAATAAAACTGATACAATTCAAAACGGGTGACTCTTCTGACATCTCTTACTCGATTTGTTAAGTAAAAAATTCATAGCCAACACAACCTGTGTGTTATAAGCACAGGGTGTTGTTTAAAAGAAATGAGTGTATGTTTGAAATAGTCCTTTTCAAGCTGAAAACAGGCGTGAACTAAAACGGTGTATCCTGAACACTTTCAAAGATATCTGGATTTCAACAACAACCTGTATTATTTTCGGTTGGTCAGTACGTAATTTCAGACAAATGTTTGATGAGACTTTTTTTTCTAACTGTAACAGTTTAGCCGCTGTCCCCCGCATACGCTTAAGTGACCCACCATGTACATGGAATAGCTCATCAGGAAAATGGTCTCATTAGCTATGCTGGCACATATTAAATCTTCTGTCGAAGTTTACCATGACCTTTTTGCATAAATGTTGCTGAATTTCTTTGGGACGACGTGTGCCTATGGGATGGTTGGCAGAACCTTTTGCTTCAAATAGCTGCATAAAAAATGCAATAACGTTAAATCCAATATGGGCTGTATTTTGAGTACCAATATTATATTCGCCGGGAGCGAAACGGGAACCTAATCGATCGCCGCGATGGACAAAGGGGGAGACATCATCGGACTACTAGTGTGCAAATATTTTGCTGTCACCGTTTGAAGAACAACAACAACAATTTAAATTGTATATGACCTCACATCGACTAAATGATTGTTGTTTTTCGTTAATATCCACAAGGACAAATATTTCTGTCCGATATCTACTAGGTGGCAATATCAGGGTGCGCACAGCAAATATTTGTTAATACCCTAATATTTACTCTTATATTCAAGGAGCCAAGTAACTGCTGACATTTTGAAAATTTTGGTAGGCTTGAAAATTTTTAAAATGTTAAGAATCGTGCAAATTCCGAAAATTTTGAAAACAGCAACTGTTACAGCCTACTGTTAAATGCAAATGTTAAATCTTTAATTGACTGAACACATAAGGTGTACCACTGATTAGGTAAATCAAGTATCAGCATCATTAATACGGCTAATACCATCTGATTGATGCTCCAGTAGTGAGAGACTTATGATTTTGACAGGGA